CCGCCCTGTTCGTCTTCGATCGAACCCCTTTTGGGGGGTATACCTTTCTTCCTGCAGGCCGGGCCCCAGCAAGCGGCGGGGCGGCCGCGGACCGTCGGCCTGGCCAGCGGCAGCGCTGATCGGCGGGGCGGCCGCGGACCGTCGACCCGACCCCAAGAGGGACGGACAGGGGACCGACCACGACGACGACGACGACGACGACGACGACGACGACGACGACGACGGACGACGACGAGCGAAAGCGAGAGCGAGAGAGAACGACAGCAGGGCCACGAAGGGCACGAAGTAGGCCACGAAGGGCGACAGCGGGGACACGAAGGGAATGCGTATGGGGCCACGAAGAGTGCGAACGAGCGGGGGCCACGAAGAAGATGCGGGGCCACAGACGGCACTATGGGGCCACTGAGGGTAGCAACTGGGCCGCGTAGGACAACGAGGGGGACACAAATGGCGACAGCGGGGCCACGAAGGGCATGCACATGGGGCCACAACGGGCGCGACTCCTGGGTGCCTGGGTGTCGGGAGCGCGGCGCTTGGGCAAATTGCAAGATATTCCAACACGCAAGGCCATTCCTCAGTAAGTTGCAAGCAAGTCTCCAGCGAGAGCGCGACTCCAGAGCTCCGGGAGAGCGACTCCTGAAAAAATTGTAAGGAAGTCCCAAGCGAGAGCGCGATTCCTGAATAAAATGCGAGGAAGTCTCGGGCGGGAGCGGGGGTCCTGCCTAAATTGTAAGGAAGTCTCAAGCGGGAGCCGTTGTTGTTGTAACCCGGGGGCCAGGGGGCCAGTTTGAGCAGGAAGACTTTTCCTGTCAAAAAACAAGGTGCGAGCGTCGAGGGGCACACTTTGATTGAGAAAAAAACAATATGCACCGGTGGGGGGGGGATCAACAATAATTATTCTTCAGAAGTGAGAATTCAACAGCAGGAGCAGCAACAACCACCACACCAACAGCAACAACCACAAAAACGGCAACAACGACAACCATCTTCGCCAACAACAACAAGAACAACAGCATCCGAACCATTATCCTAGTCATCAACAGCACCATCAGCATCATAATCAGAGTCTTCATCATCATCCTCACTCTCTTCCTTCTCATCATCCTTCACCTCACCATAATCATCATAATCAACATCATCATGACCAGTTTCACCATCATCATCCTCATCATCATCATAACCATCATCATCATCATCATCATCATCATCATCATTATCGACAACAACACCATCTGTATCATCATCACCAACATCATCAGCATCGTCACATTCACCATCATCATGATCAGCAGCACCATCACCACCATCGCCATAATCATCGCCACCATCGTCATAGTCATGATCATCATCATCACCATCATCGTCATCATCAATATGTTCATCATCAATACAAACATCGCCATTTGCATCACCGGCATCTGGAACATAATCATCATCAGCAGAAGCAGCATAATAATCATCATCAGCAACAGAATCAGCATCGTCACCATCGCCACCAGCATCATCATCACCGTGATCATAAACATCGGCATCATCATCTCCATCATCACCGTCAACACCACCATCACCAACAGCATCATCATCATCAGCATCATCAACATCATCATCATCAGCAGCCGCATGATTATCATCACCATCATCACCACCACCATGATCATCATGGGCGGCCACGAGTTGCCGAGAAACCGAGAGCCGACCGAACCGATGACGAAACCGAAACCGATCGAAACCGAAAGGGGGCCTGCAGAACCGAATCAGCCGACCGAAACCGACCGAACGCGAAAACCGAACTGCAGGGTCACAATGGCGCAGCCAGCATGCGCTCTCGCTCCCCGCGACGGCGCACCCCTCACACGCTTCATGGCCCCATCAGAGCTCCGCTAAAATTCCCAGCGGCGCAGCCCGCGCGCGCTCCCGCAAGGAACTTCGGCGAACCCCTCGCAAGTTTCGTGGCCCCATAGATGCTCCGCCCAAGGCCCTGGCGGCGCAGCCAGCATGCGCCCCCGCCGCAAACGGGCGGCGGAAGCGGCGGATGTCTGAATCTCGGCGGACTTCCAAACCCCCAGGACCCGAAAATCAATTTCTCGAGCTCCGGAGCCCCCGGCAGCCGAAAAAACATGTTTCGGGGCCCGAAAAATTGTTTTTTCTCTCCCCGGGTTTTCGGCGCCTCCAGGGAGCCTCCGGAGCCCCCCGGAACCGAAAAAACATTTTTCGAGGCTTGAAAAATTGTTTTTCTCTCCCCGGGGCCTTCGGCGCCTCCAGGGAGCCTCCAGAGCCCCCGAAAGCATTTTTCGAGGCCTGAAAAATTGTTTTTCTCTCCCCAGGGCCTTCGGCGCCTCCAGGGAGCCTCTGGAGCTCCGGAAAGGCCTTAAAAGCATTTTTCGAGACCCAAAAAATTGTTTTCCTCTCCCCCGGGGCCTTCGGCGCCTCCAGGGAGCCTCCAGAGGCCCCGGAAGCCGAAAAACATTTTTCGGGGGCTGAAAAATTGTTTTTCTCTCCCCGGAGCCTTCGGCGCCTCCATGGAGCCTCCGGAACCCCCACGAGCCGAAAAACCATTTTTCGAGGCCAGAAAAAATGTTTTCTCTCCCCGCGGGGCCTTCGGCGACTCCGGGGAGCCTCCGGAATTCCCGTGGAAGAAGCGTTTTCGAAGCCTGGCCACGGGGCAAGATTTATCCGGCCAACGATGCGCAACTGCGCGCATCCGGCCAATCAGCCAACCAACCTCCTTGCTCCTGCTCCTGTTCCTCCTCCTCCTGCCCCTCTCCTCCTCCTGCTCCTCCACCTCCTCCTCCTCTTCCTCCTCCCTTTTTCTTCAAAGGGAAAGGCCAAGCGGAATCAGATCGGCGCGAATCCGTGGGCAGCGAAACCGAACTGGAAACCGGCGGCCGATTCGATCCCCTGGGCCGGCACGAGGCGCCAGCGAGGCGCCCGCGGCGAAACCGAATCAACCGAAGTAACCGAAGAGGGCGCGACGACGCAGGGACTCCGCAACAACCGAACCGACCGAACCGATCGATTCTAACCGACACCGACGCAACCGAACCGACCGGTTCGCGGCCGTCCATGATCATCATCACCATCCCCAGAATCACCATCATCAGCATCATCAGCATCATCATCCCCCCTTCCCCCTCCAACTCCCCCGTTCCCTCCTCCTCCTCCTCCGCCTCCTCCCCCTACATCTCCTCCTCCTCCTCCTCCTCCTTCTCCTCCTCCTCCTCCCCCTCCTCCCTCTTCCTCCTCGTCCTCCTCCTCTTCTGCCGCCTCTTCCTCCGCCTCCTCCTACTCCGCCTCTTCCTCCTGATCACCCTCTTCCTTCTCCTCCTCCTCCTCCTCCTCCAACTGCCGCGGCCGCTGCATCCGCCCAGCTTTTGAGCGGGTGGCCACCAGCGCCAGGCGTGTGAGAAGGTCCGCAACCAACTCGGCGCCAGCATCTGGGCGCATGCCGGCACTGCTGCGCTGAGCCCTTCGGCCCGACTCACCCTGGCACACTGACTGGCCCCGACGAGACCGCCGCTTTTGGCATGGAGTCCCGCCTGCGGCGGAGGGAGGAGAAGGTGGAGGGGGAGAGGCAAAAGGCCAGCGCGGTGGCCGGGGCGGCCCTCCTCCTCCTTCTCCTCCTCCTCCTCCTTCTCCTCCTCCTCCTTCTCCTTCTCCTCCTCCCTCCTCCTCCCTCCCGTCCTCCTCCCTCCCGTCCTCCCGTCCTCCCGCCCTCCTCCTCCTCCGCCTGCTTCACTCCACCTCGTCCTCCCCCCGAGCCCCAGCGGTGCCTGTACCGACGGTACGAGCAAAAGCGGCCGCCGAGGCTCGAGGGAGCGACGAGCCTTCGAGCGAAAGATGCGCGGGCACTGGGCATCGATCGTTTGAGGCGTCCTCCTCCGACCATCCAGGCCTTTCATGCCCGAGCTTGAATGTGCCACGTCGGAATTGTTCTGAATGCTCAGCCTCTGGGGCGGTGTCCGGGCCCCTGGACCGTCAGAGCACGATCTTGGACAACGACCGATGGAAAAGGCACGGAGATGGAGACGTGTTTTGGTAGTCACCCAACCTAGAGGGGTAAGACCATGGGGCTGTGCGAGACGAACCCTTTGGGTGAGCAGGCAGATCCCCTGTCCATCTGAGCGAGGCGTTCTCCTCAGAGGCCATCCGGGACTAGGATCTGCATGCTCCCGCCGCTTCCGCTTGTGCGCGAGCAGGTGTTGTCTGGATGCGGAGAAGGAAGACGAAAAAGAAAGAACGTGCGATGATACTGCTGGCAGACCACATGGGATTCGACACCGAATAGCAGTGGCGTGAATGCCGCGCCTATCCTCAAGGCCTCTCCCGAACGAGCAGGTTTGAACTGCTCGAAATTGCCCTGACGGCCCAAACGTCCAGCCATTACCCTAGGATCCAGGACTGCTCGACAATAAACCTACCCATCTATCGCCTGCGTACCTGACACACCTACGACACAAGGTCACTCTCGGGAGACATACTGATTTATGCCCCTGGGCGCGGGCCCGTTCAATCCTCGCGGGAGCGATGTTACGTGGCAGGAGTGCGTAACACCGCCTGCGGACGGCGCTGGCCCGTCGAGGCCGAGGGGGACAGAACGGGCCCGAAAGCGTAGACCACACCCTTCATTTCTAGCCATCTCCCCTTTGCGCTTGCCATCTCCCCCCCAGTCCCTCCCTCCTCCCCCCCTCCTCCTCCTGCTCCTCCTCCTCCTCCTCCTCCTCGTCATCATTAGTATCGTCATCATCACCACCCGCATAACCACCACAACCATCATCGTCATCACCACCACCACTACCACAATTGTGTAGGTTCCCCTGGTGCCTGCCTCCACGTTGGCCAAAAATGCTGCCAGGCCCTCTGTGTGTCCCACCAATTCCCCTCCTTCTCATCCTCTTCCTCCTCCTCCTCCTCCTCCTCCTCCTCCTCCTCCTCCTCCGCAGATCCCTCCCAGCCCTCTTCCGCAACCTCCTCCAGTGCCGGACACTGCAGCATTCGCGCGCCTTCTGAGAAGGTCAGATAAAAGTTGCCGCGCTGGGCCACAGCAAGGTATTGGCCTGCCCGAATCCCTCTGTTCAATAAATGGAAAAGTAGCGCAGCCCACGCAAAGTTCAAATGCTGCGACTCACTGCCAGGGCAAATTATCAATACCCAGTCCGTCACCGGCGCGAAGAATACCCATTATGCCCCCTCAACGAAAGAAGTTGCCTCAGAATGGTTAGCCATCGTGCCTTCAGCACGTAGTTGAGTACCCCAAGGCTCACACTGATGTAAATTACATGCAAGTGCACCACATGCATATTAGTCTGAATTGTTGGGCGCTTCCAGAGCTTCTCGACTGGACCTCCGGGAAGCCAAGCCCGCCAAAACCGACGCCACAATGTCACCCCAGGATAACCCAAGAAACGCTCAAAAAAAACTAAACATTCGGTAGTCCCCTGGGCCCGTGCTGGGGCTCTGGGGGCCTCTTGGGCCATCTGAAAGGCCCTTGGAGCCAGCCCGAGAGGCCAATATCAGAAAGATCATTGGGTGTCTGTCTGTATGAATGCCGCATACTCGACCCTTTGGTCTTCAGGGCGGCCAGGACAAACCAAGAGGCCCCTTAGACCCGCCGTAGGCATTATCCGGGGCCCTCAGAGACAGGGAGTCTGAGTACGAGTGAATCTGAGTTTGGAAGAGAGAAGGCGGGGGTGAGGAGACGGAGGCGGCAAACGAATAGCAAGAACTCCACCTTAGGAGATGTTGAAAACGTAGCTGCCCAGCACCGCACCATTACAACAGATCCCCACAACCACAACCACATCGCATCCACGTGGAGAAAGGGGGAGGGTGTCGGTTGAGTGCAGCCCGACCCATGATCGTGGGATGGGGCATTCGTCCGCATGCTTGGCACATGCGTGTTGCATCTCGCACTCTGTGTACTAATACCAGGTGCATGTTAGCCCGCACTACTCCATACTGTACAACTTCATCGTGTGTACTCCATATTCGTCTTCATTCGGTGCTTCTCGTTGTGCAGACATGAACGTCAACAAACAACTCTACCCTGCACAACGACACCAACACGCATGGACCAACATCCAATCCAATACACTCATATACGGCTTCCGTGCCATGGTTCATCACAAGCCATAGTAAACATGAGTCAGAGATGTCTTTGCCGAAGCTGCCCTACATGCTGGGCAGACGGATCGCAACCGGCAGAAAGGCAGAAAATCTCAGACTCTTGCTGTGGCTCCCATAATTGTCCGCCTCATCCTTTCTGGTGTTACTCTTGCCTCGTTTCTTCCCGCTCTCCAGCAGCCCCCTGCTGCCGTTGTCCAATACTATCAAATCTGCTCTCCCTCGTCCTCTTCGCTTGAAGCGTGGCCGTCACACCTCCTTTGTCCGATCCCACCAGCGTCGGATCTCTTGATGCCCTTCACAGACCCAGTGAAGTAGCTGGCCCCCTGCCATCACCGAAGTTAATATATCTTTGCTTCAACTCGTAATCTTACGTACTCACTGTGATGCTATAGTCGTGTTCATGTCCGGCCGCCCAGATTCTAATGCCTGTGCCTCTCTCTCTCCCTCCCTCTTTTTCTCTGCCCCCTCTCTCTTTCTCTGGCCCTCTCGCTCTTTCTCTTTCTCTTTTTCTTTCTCTCTCTCTCTTTCTCTCTCTCTCTCTCTCTCTCTCCCCCTGAGGATCGCCCATATGGACTCTGCACCGTTCCCAAACATGATGCGCCGTGCTGCTCCCCATGTTACGATCGTACATGTTTGCAGCACTCGCCAAAAGCGTGCACTGTTGCGACAGCTGTTCGCGCGACCCTCTCACCCCGGAGGGTGAGCCCCCCCGACCCACGCATAAAACCAACGAGCGCCCTCAACAACGCCGAGCAGTTCCGATCAGATTCTCTCTCACTAGATCACCGACACCAACATCGTTGGTGGTGCCCCTTTGGTTGCTGGTCCCTCGCTCGCTGCCAAACAGGCACCAATGGCACCCATCTGCACTCACCCCATCCGGGGGCTGTCACAGGCGAGTGGCCGGGACACCTCGGTCTTCTAGTTTCGCAAATTGCTCCGCGCGGCACCCAGGGAGCAACAGGTTTTCTGTGGTCGCGCCGCCTCTCCCCCGGAGGGGGACGGCCCTCCACCATGGATCGCAGGGGCGCGGGGCGCGGCCATCGTCGCGCCCCCGCGGGCGACCCGGATCCGGCCCATGGGAGCGGGCATACGAAGGCCAGCGCTTGCCAACGTGGCCCAAAACGGCGGGATCTTGCAGTGCCACTGCGCAACCGTTCGCGGTACAGTCCATGTGCGGCGCAACCGACGCGACATGGTCGCCGTGGTGGCTGATACCTGGTGGTGCCTGTGGGGTGTGATTGGTTACACAAACGGCTGGACCAACCCCAGGTTTTTGCAAACATCCCACCCACCCGCCCGCAACTTGGTCTGCAAAACCCATTCTGCGGCGATTGCGAGGATGAAGATGTTTGAAGGAGTTCGAAATGCGCGCGCGGCCGACGCGTACCCCCCCCCACACCCCCCGCGCAAGGGCGTTCGAATGAGTTCGGCATGCGGCGCGAAAGGCCAGTTTGGCAGGATGTGATGAAAATGTAGCAAAACCATGTATGGTTTACATGTTCGCGGGGCACTCGATTGTAAAATACTTACGAAACAGCGAGACGTTGAAGGATTTCGGCATGCCCGTGCGACGACGCGCGCGTGTGCACTTCGTCATCTTTTCTGCTAGGGATTCTTGCGACAGCACGCAATCAAAGGCGTTCGAACGACTTCAACACGCCCGCGCGAAAGGTACATTTGAAAACATTGTATGAAGAATTTGGCAATAAATCCATTGGTTCCTGAAGATATCGCAATAACGCGAGCGCAATTATTTGTTGAAGCCTCGTGCTGCGAAACCATGTGCTTTTATTGATGCTTGGTTGCGACACTCGATTTTGAATCCCCTACGAAACCTCAGGTTTTCGAGAAATTGCAGCATGCGCGCGCGGCCACGCGCGCGTGTGCACTTCGCCCTGTTTGTTTGGGAGGGATTGTTGAACACTGGTGATTTTTGATAGACGAATGCGCGTGCATAATATTTGTAGCAAAGGGTAAAGGGGGGAACCGATACGGGCCTGCCTGGGATGATACAAATTCATAATTTAGGATGGACGATGGGGGAGAATCAGGTGCACATTGCAACACGGAAAAGCGGAATGTTAACCCCAGGGGGTAGATCCTAGTACTGTTTTAAGACGGACAATGGATGTTGAGGAACTTGAAGCCAACAACCACTGCCCGCGCAAACATGCCACTCTGCCACCAGCAACCTGCTGCGCCAAACCCACTCGGCCACGACTGCGGCTGCTGATTGGCAAGTGCTGGCGCTTCTCTGCGGCCGCGCTGGCACGCGCACGCTCGCGAGCAAAGCGACCAGCTGACTTGGCTCATCTGATGCGGCCACGATGACGCTTACCGGCGGGAACTCCCCAACGCGTCTCAAAAACCCCAAGGTTAGGTCGACCATGTCCCCCTACAGGCGGATTTTGGACGAAAATGCAAAATACCAAAACAACACTCCAAAATGATCGAAAAATGCTCCTAAAATCGTCCCCTGACTATTTTTGACTATTTTTGAATACTCCTGTAGAGGGACAGGCCCGACTTATCGCTCGCCCCCAATCGACTAGCTGATTTGGCTCATCTGATGCGGCCGGCCACGGTGACACTTACCGGCGGGAACTCCCCAACGCGTCTAAAAACCCCAGGCTGGCGCGCGGGCCCTTCAGTGCAGGCCGGTGCCACCTGGGCATGCACGATGTCATGATGACTTCGACCATGGCGGCATCGATGATGATAATAGCAATGGTGTTGGCGATGGTGGAAATGACGGCGGCGAGGACAATGACGGCGCTGATGCTGGTGATGACGTTAACGATGATGATGATGTCCATGTGGTAGTGATGAAGGTAAATGTGCTGGTGATGGCTGAGATGGCTGAGATCACGGCGGTGACGCGATGGCGCTGATGAGGGTGATGAAACAGTGCGCGCGCGCAGAAGTTCAGCAAATATGGCAAACCCTGTGTTGCAAAATCGGTGGTCCTCATATGTGCTTGAAGAAAACTACGCTGAAATGTATGGAACCGCAATGTTGCTTGAAGGGTTTCGACAAGCGCGCGTGACGGCGCGCGGACGCGGCATGGGCGCATGCTAGAAACATGCAGCATGGGCGGACGGGTGGATGCAGCGGGCGGCATGGGCACATGCTAGAAGCATGCATGGGCTTGGGCGCCTGGGCAGATGCGGCATGGGCGCATGCACGCGCGAGTGTGATACGAGTTCACGAAATGGGCGCATGCCAGATCAACGCGGATGGGCTGCGAGGTGAGATGAGGATTCTAATTCTGGACGACACTGCTGAACGCATATGAACTCCCCAGTGGGCGCGGGCAGCAAATCTACAATAGTTCCGATTGAAACCAGTAAACGTTGTTTATGTTATGTTCCGCAGCGCGTGCAAAGAGAATGTGGTTGGTACGATTTCGACATGTGCGCCGGCGTGCACTCCACGGATGGGTTCTGCCAAACATGATTGGCGACATACTTTTTGAAATCCACAAATTCGCGCGCGTGGTACTACATAAGAATTTGGAAAACGGGGAGGTCCATACGGGCCTGGGTGGGACGGTGCGCTTTCGAATGGTAAATGCACGCTGAAGCAGAACCAGATGCAAATTGCGATACAACACAGAAGGAATTTAAGTCGGGGCTCGGATGTCACCTATATGGTGCAACCCATGAGATGCAGTCTACGTGGCGCATTCCGCTTTGCACGACTTGCAGTCGTCAACTCCGCTGCTCACGCAAGCATCCCACTCTCCCGCCCGCAACTTGTTTCGCACAACCCACGTGGCCGCGACTGCGGTGACTACCTGGCACTGGCTGGCGTGCCTCTGCGGCTGCGCTGGCGCCCGAGAGCTCGCGGGCAGAGCGGTCAGTTGGTTTGGCACAACCGACGCGGCCGCGATGGCGCTTACCGATGGGAACTTCCCTGCGCGTCTCCAGCGCCAAGCTGACGCGCGGGCCCTTCAGTGCAGGCCGGTGACCTGGGCGGGCGCGGTAGCATGACGACGTCGAGAACGGCCGGGCGACGATGAGAACAGCGGCGTTAAAGGTGGCGATGATGACGACGACGACGGCAAGGCCAATGCCTGCACCGATGCTGGCGACGGCGATGGCGATGATGGTGTCCATGATGTCCATGATTGGCTGGTGATGGCGGCAGTGCCGACCATTGACGATGATGAGAACGGCAGTGGTGCGTTGGCGCTGGTGAGGGTGATGGTTGAAGAAGTGCGCGCGCCGAAATGCAAGCAATATAGAAGACTTGTTGCTCGAAACATATGGCAAGTCACAAGTGTTCGAAGAGCTGCATGTTGAAAATAGTGAGCACAAATGATGTTGAAAAGACTTCGACACGCGCGCGTAAAGGCGCGTGGGTGGCCTGCATGGTAATGTTTGGTACGGACTCGTGCAGCAAGCGCATGCTAAATCAACGCGGATGCACACCGTGGTGGGATGGGAACGCTGACTCTGGACGAGATTGCTAAAACTTTCTTTGTTTCCTACAATGTCCGCGAGTGCGCGCGGACCAGAAATCTGTAAGATTGTAGACCATACATGAAGGTGTTTGATGTATGTTTAACTTTGGGGCGCTTGAAAATTATTTGCCTGATTTGATGTTCACATGTGCGCGCGTAGACGTTGTGCATTTGATGCATGTGAAAAAACTGTTGATGTAAACGAATGTGCGCGCATAAAGTTACTTGACAAGGATGAGGGGGCGATACCCTTTTGGCTGTGATGGTATACACTAATATGGAGAATGAACGATGACACAGAACCATATGCAGCTTGCAAAACGGAGAGGGGCAAGTCCGAGGGGGAGAGGTGGTAGGATCCTTGTTTCTGAAAAGACAGATACTGACCACACCAGCGCGTGACGACCTCCAATTGGTCGTGCCAACATCCCACCCACCCACCCATACACTGTTGGCGAGTGAGCTGAGTGGCGACAACGAGGATGACGATGTTCAAGACGACGGTGAGGACGATGGTGACGGCGACAATGATGATAGAAATGATAATTAATGACGGGGTCACTAATGACGCTGGCGATGATGATGCCGACGACGACGACGACGACGATGACGATGATGATGATGATGATGATACTCATGATGATGATGATGTTGATGCTGATTGGTATAATGACTATGATGATTATGATGATTATAACGATGATGATACTGATGATGATGATGACGACGATGACGATGATGGCGATGGTGCTTGCAAGAATGCTGAAGATGTTTGCACGCACATGAAGTTCGACGAAGACGACGGCATCGACGATGACGATTATGACGGCGGTGGTGATGACGACGACGATGGCGATGATGATGACGACGACAATGATGACGCTAGTGATGATAACGAGTGTGATGGGGACGATGGGGAAGTGCGCGCTCGCAGGGAATCCGAATGTTCCAACCAACTCTGATTGAAAAACCATGGGCTTCCACATGTGTTTGAACACCTGTCTTGAAATTGTTCGAAAACCTATGGTTTGGGACTGAGTTCGACGTGCGCGCGCGGAAATGCGCGCGATGGCACCGCATTGTATTATTTGACAGAGTTGGCGGGCAAGCGATGGTTGTTGAGAGGTTTCGACATTCGCGCGAGTGGCCCGCATGCTCAAATCTGGCAGACTGGTAAAAATTGTTGTCTCATGAACTCAGCGATTGCGCGCGCAGAACCAGCGACTGTTCTTATAGCGTTGGGCTATGAGCCATGGGCTTTGGGGGGGCTACGCCATGGGCTTGGGATAGAGCTTGAATGGTTATGTTTTGAAACTCATGGATATCGATGTGTGTCTTGAACGATGTTGATATGCGCGCGCGGCGGCGTGCGCATGTACCCCGCATAGAACGTCCGTAATAAAACAACAAAATGAGACCAGTCATGCGCACTGCATATTCATATGTGATCGGCATGAGGGGTCGATACCAGGACTGGATGGCATGTTGCATTTAGGATGAGCGATAGTGCATAATGATACATGTGATGAACAATGTACACAACAAACGGAGAGAAACAAAAAGGCGAATCAACAAAAAAAACATTAGCACCACCACCACCCACCCAGCCCCGGCCCCCAACAATCAGAAGAACGTGAACCATGGCCTCGGCGGAGGGGTGGAATCGCATTCCCTCTGGAAGACGAACGATCTGTGGCCGCAGCTCCGCGCACGAGGCGGCGACGCGGCGCCGGATTGGCGTGCACCGGGCGAGGAGTCCGAAAACCCAGGAGTGTCGTTTCAGCGATCCCCCTCCCCGGCGGCGTGGCCTGGGCCCCACTGGCCGATGTACCCCCGCTAGATGGGGCTGTGGGTCGGTCCCTTCGAGTTTCGAGGGGTGCATCCCCCCCCCACTGGGGTGGTAATTTGTGGTTGGGGCTTCGAAAGGGATAGGGATGGGGATGGGGATCGGCTAAACGGTACCGATTCCAGCCGGCACACGGGCCGTCGGCGAAGCGGCGATGGGCGGCCCCCGGGCAGCACTCCCAGGACCCCCAGCCTGCGGACAGGGGCGCCACGAGGCGGCGACGGGCGGAGGCTTGTCTTTTTTTTTTGGGGGGGGGGGGGGGGCGGGCACGTCCCCCTACAGGCGGAGCTTGGACGAAAAATGAAACATACTCTAAAAATGCCCAGAAAGAGCTAAAATTACCCTGTGACGTACCGAACCCATTTGTATCAATGGAAACGAGGAGTTGGCCGAAACTTGCATGGACAATCAACTTGATGTGTAAGCTACTTGGGACACGCGCCTATGGCATGATGTGCAGGAGAACCATACAAGAACGAGGGGCGACAGCTACAGGCTCGAAGAGGACATGGGGAGTCGGGAACGCAGAGCAGGAGAAAAACGTGCGGGAAGCCGAACCATCAGCACGGCAGCAGCAGAGGGAAGGCGACTGCAGGAGGAGAACAAGGACGAAAGCGGCGTCTAAGTTGAGTCTGCGGTGGGTACCCACTGTGCTGTGCCCCTCAGTAGCCCTCGAAAGTGGCGACAGTTTCACAGATCGCAGCCCCCCACGGATGGCGAGGTCTAATTTGAATCCGCGGTGGGTACCCACTGTGCTGTGCCCCTCAGCAGCCCTCGAAAGTGGCGACAGTTTCACAGATCGCAGCCCCCCAGGGATGGCGAGGTCTAATTTGAGTCTGAGGTGGGTACCCACTGTGCTGGGCCCCCCCAGCAGCCCTCGAAAGTGGCGACAGTTTCACAGATCGCAGCCCCCCAGGGATGGCGAGGTCTAATTTGAGTCTGCGGTGGGTACCCACTGTGCTGGGCCCCTCAGCAGGCCTCGAAAGTGGCGACAGTTTCACAGATCGCGGCCCCCCAGGGATGGCGAGGTCTAATTTGAGTCTGCGGTCTGTACCCACTGTGCTGGGCCCCTCAGCAGCCCTCGAAAGTGGCGACAGTTTCACAGATCGCAGCCCCCCAGGGATGGCGAGGTCTAATTTGAGTCTGCGGTGGGTACCCACTGTGCTGGGCCCCCCAGCAGCCCTCGAAAGTGGCGACAGTTTCACAGATCGCAGCCCCCCAGGGATGGCGAGGTCTAATTTGAATCTGCGGTGGTACCCACTGTGCTGGGCCCCCCAGCAGGCCTCGAAAGTGGCGACAGTTTCACAGATCGCAGCCCCCCAGGGATGGCGAGGTCTAATTTGAGTCTGCGGTGGTCCCACTGTGCTGGGCCCCCCAGCAGGCCTCGAAAGTGGCGACAGTTTCACAGATCGCAGCCCCCCAGGGATGGCGAGGTCTAATTTGAATCCGCCGTGGTACCCACTGTGCTGGGCCCCCCAGCAGGCCTCGAAAGTGGCGACAGTTTCACAGATCGCAGCCCCCCAGGGATGGCGAGGTCTAATTTGAATCTGCGTGGTACCCACTGTGCTGGGCCCCCCAGCAGGCCTCGAAAGTGGCGACAGTTTCACAGATCGCAGCCCCCCAGGGATGGCGAGGTCTAATTTGAATCTGCGCGGTACCCACTGTGCTGGGCCCCCCAGCAGGCCTCGAAAGTGGCGACAGTTTCACAGATCGCAGCCCCCCAGGGATGGCGAGGTCTAATTTGAATCCACCCATCGAAAGTGGCGACAGTTTCACAGATCGCAGCCCCCCAGGGATGGCGAGGTCTAATTTGAATCCGCACCCACTGTGCTGGGCCCCCCAGCAGGCCTCGAAAGTGGCGACAGTTTCACAGATCGCAGCCCCCCAGGGATGGCGAGGTCTAATCTGAATCTGCGGTGTACCCACTGTGCTGGGCCCCCCAGCAGGCCTCGAAAGTGGCGACAGTTTCACAGATCGCAGCCCCCCAGGGATGGCGAGGTCCAATTTGAATCTGCGGTGTGTACCCACTGTGCTGGGCCCCCCAGCAGGCCTCGAAAGTGGCGACAGTTTCACAGATCGCAGCCCCCCAGGGATGGCGAGGTCTAATTTGAATCCGCCGTGTGTACCCACTGTGCTGGGCCCCCCAGCAGGCCTCGAAAGTGGCGACAGTTTCACAGATCGCAGCCCCCCAGGGATGGCGAGGTCAAAGGCAGGGGGGAAGAGAGGGACGGGAGGGGGCGGGAAGGAAGGAAGGAGACGCGCGAGCAGTGCTCTATTCAAAACGAGAGCCCAACGCAGGAGGGTTGGGAAAAAATCGTCCCCAGAGCATTTTTGTCTACTATTTCTGCACATTCCTCCTGCAGAGGGACACGCCCGACTTCGGCGGAGGCGCAAACTCCCAGGAGCCCAGCCCACGGGCAGGGCGCTACGAGGCGGCGGCGAAGGCCACCGGGCCAGCGCCCGGGGAAGCTCGGCGACGGGGGGGCGGCGGTGGGCGGTGGCGAGCTGGAAGGCACACCCGGCGCACGGTGCGGCCACGGGGCGGCGGCGGCGGGCGGCCACCGAGCAAGAGCCTGGAAACGCACCCGAGCACTGCCAAGGGGAGCAACTGTAGGCCTGGAAATGGGCACCAACACCAACACAGGGGGTTGCCTCCACATGGGAAAGATGGTCCTAGATTTCGGTGCTGGTGGCAGTGTTTCGGTCACCTTGGAAGCCAGAATAATTCGGTCACCTCGGGAGCAAGGAGCCCCTCAGTGCAAGCACTAAGTCGGGCCTGTCTCTCTACAGGAGGAAGGTTCAAAGATAGTCAAAAAATAGTCTGGGGAGGATGTTTCTATTATCTTTTGACCAGTTGGGAATCTGTTTGGGGGTATGTTTCACTGTTCGTCCAGAATCTGCCTGTAGGGGGACATGCCCGTCCTAATGCAAGCACTGCCTGGGGAATGCACGAAGATCACTTTCGGATCGCAGTCGAAGTTCCCCAAAAGTCGCTAGAATCGCAGCGTCGAGCCGAAGAGTCTTCGAAAAAACACGAAGTACTAGCCGAGTCCTTGCGACGTTTGCTTATATGATGGGCGCAATTAAGCTGTCGAAGCCAAAAAAACACGCTCCAGGGGATGCCTGCCAGGAAATGTTTTCAGTGGGCAATCCTGAGAGCGAGGGCCCGTCATCCTGCCCCTGGCGGAACGGAAGGTGAAAGAGGCGTTTGCTTCGAGTCGTGATCAGTCGGTGCGTTGGTTGTCTCTGGGGCCACACCCTATATGTAATACACTGATATCCTGCCCCTGGGAGGGACCAACGAGGCCATCCTTATCAGCCCCCTGCCTTCTCTCTCATCCCCCTTCTCCTGCACTGCAAACGACTGGTGTTTGCAAATCGGCAAAGCATTATGTGAAGGCCCCTTCTGATCCAGCCTTCACTCCGCTCGAAGAAACGCGATTCAGCGTGGCGTCCACTGTCTCCTTCACCTTAGAAGTCCAATTCCTTGCGGCGCAGTCTCGCTATCCGCGTCTCTCGTACGTTGCCCCCTTTATTTCCCCCACCACCACCACACGAAGAGAATGATTATGAATTCATCCGTGCACTGCTCCCTTGTGCCTCCTGTCCTCCTCCCAGCCGCTTGGCAGAGCTGGCGGAACTCCAGGGAGGAGAGAGGAGGAGAGGCAAGAGGAGGGAGGAGGGAGAGAACGGGGGAGGGAGAGGTGGAGGAGGACGGCGCCGAGTGGAGGGGGAGGAGAAAGCCTTCCGGAAGGACGAGGCCCATGCCGACCTTCCCAGTGGGTGCCCAGCGGACCAAAAAAAAGTGCGTCGGCCCAGTCCGTACGCCCGCGCCCCGGCCAGAGCAGGGCTGGCGCCGCCGCAGCCTGGCCTGCTCCTTCGAAAGAAGACGGCCCTTTCTCTGAAGGGGCCCTGGGACACAAATAAATACACACAAATAAACAGTTTCCCCATATTTTCCCATATTTTCTGGGTTTTTTGTCTTCCGCACCACTTCCCATATTTTCCCATATTTTCTGGGGAGTCGACGAATAATTGTGTCTGTGTGTGTGTTTTTCCCCTCCTGATTCTCCTAGACCCTCTTCTTCTTGGACACCCGAAAGGAATACAGAAAAATTGGGCATGATACCCAGCAACAGGTGTTGTGAACATCCGCACGCTGCTGGGCGGGGTGGGGCCATCAGGACCCCTGTCGGCGATCCATGGGCGATTGGGGGTCGATGCGTCCCCCCTACGCCTATCCCCCCCCTGTCGTTGCCTCTGAGATGAGCCGCCCTCCCGCTGACCACGTTTGCGCTTCCCCCGCCTCGGCAACGTGGCGAACCTCGCTCCCTCCACCCCGGCGGGAGACGCCCCCCCGGGCCGGCCCAGGGCGCAACCCGCACGCCCTGCACGAATGCTCTCTCACCGGCACGAGGATAGAATCGGGTGAGGATGAATCGAGAATCTCCGAGGTCCGGCGAACCTGGATGGCGTCTCGTGCGCCGCGGCCTTCTCAGAGAGTTCCGGAGCGCTCTGAAAGCGTCCTTGAATGCTCTGGATCGGGTTTATCCTCGTCCTGGCCCCGTGTGAGTTTCCCGCCCCGACGACGACGACGACGACGACGACGACGACGACGAAGGCGACGACGACGACGACGACGACGAAGGCGACGACGACGACGACGAAGGGCGACGACGACGACGATGTATCCTCGTCCTAGCCCCGTGTGAGTTTCTCCTGGCCCCAGGGCCCGATAACGGGCTCCAGAGGCCGAACCCAAGGACAAACACGAGGAGCAAAAGCAACAACAACAAGAAGATCATCGAATGAGCATCGCTTCACAGAGCGACGCCAAAGCCGACCGCACCCGACAAGCCGCAGGCACCTGAAGGGCGAAGCGACGCAGCAACGAAACGAGAAGCGACCCGAACGAACCGACCGAACGCGGCCGACTGCGAAACAGCTGAACCGACCGAACCGCGACCACGATTGTAGGGAAACAAACTCTACAAACCGACGCTGCTTCGGGCCCTGCACTGACACTTCCACAAGAAAACGGATCCTGGTGTATACGGAATCCTGGTGTACACATGTTCCGTGGTTCCCCTGGGAAGCGGAAACCACAAGTACGCACCACACCACCCCGACGGCGTCCCCGACCCTCAAAAAGCCCTGGGAGTGGATGTACATGCTCAAATTTCAGCAAGACGTAAGAGCATGGGCCGCCTATATCGCATCGCGCTCAGCGATCGGGGGGGGGCCCGATGAGCCCGCACAAAAGGTCACTCTGGCGAAGGGTCACTCTTACGTGTAGTCGAAAGTTTCCGAGATTGCAAAAGCACGAGCCGGGCATGCCGAGCGAGAGCGCCGCTGCCCGAGTCGAGCGTGGACGGTGCCCTCCCGCCGTGGGTGCGGCGCCGCCCCGAGCAGCCTGGTGTGGCAGCTCGCCCCACGACAGGGCTGCCCAGGAGGAGGAGGAGGAGGAGGAGGAGGAGGAGGAGGAGGAGGAGGAGGAGGAGGAGGAGGGAGGAGGAGGAGGAGGAGGAGGAGCAGGAGGAGGAGGAGCAGGAGGAGGAGGAGGAGGAGGAGGAGCAGCCCCGCTCCCGAGCGGGCAGCGCAGCCATGGAGCGAACGAGGGCGCCCGCGGGGCAGAGCCTCCGCGGCGGCCTGCACCCCGCCGCGCTGCGGCAGTGCAGAATGTGCCCTCACGGGCTGTCTGCACTCCAGTGACGAACGAACAACACGCACCCATACCCATAGGGGGGTCGTTGGGAGGAGGACTGGCTATGGGTATGGGTGCGGGTTGTCGGACCCTGGGGAACGCTCCCGTTCGAGCGGGGACCCCCATCCGACAACACGCACCCATAGCCCTCTCCGATCCCCCTATGAGTATGGGTGTGTGTTGTTGGTTCGTCATCCAGTGGCCACGGTGCTGCGGATGCGCGGTCCAACGGATGCGGTCTGCGCGGAGCATCCGCGACAAAACGGCCCCGTGTCAACTGGGTCGCGACCCAGGGGCCTGGCCCCGCGAGGTTCTGGATGTGGAGATGTTTCCCGCCCACGACCGACACAAAGGACATCGTGACCAAGCATTTCTCTGCGGCAACTCGTGGGAGCCTCCCATGTCATCTTGATGGCCATCGGGAATCGACGCCAACCGACGCCAACCAACGCTTATCGACGCTAAATCGGCGCTCTCTCGTCGATTTCACCCTACGGGCGTAATTCCAAGACATATATCGGGTGTTGCTAAGCGTGCCCCTCCCGTACGGGCAGATGTTCGATGAAGATTTGAAATTATCCCGGCAAAGCAACCTAACAGCGATGTGTAGGAGCATATCTGGAAGCATTCCCCTTAAGATTCACATGAGAATCCAGTTGTAGAATTCTGCTGTTCTCGAAGTCGCAGTCGCATTCGCGATAAAAGTCGCAGCGGCAACGGCAGTCGCAGTCACAGCCTCATCCTCAGCCTGCCTCAGCCTCAGCCTCAGCCTGCCTCAGCCTCAGCCTCAGCCTGCTTCAGCCTCAGCCTCAGTCTGCCTTCAGCCTCGGCCTCAGCCTCAGCCTGCCTCAGCCTCAGCCTCAGCCTGCATCAGCCTCAGCCTCAGCCTCAGCCTGCCTCAGCATCAGCCTGCCTCAGCCTCAGCCTCAGCCTGCCTCAGCCTCAGCCTTCAGCCTCAGCCTGCCTCAGCCTGCAGCCTCAGCCTCTGCCTCAGCCTCAGCCTCGGCCTCAGCCTCAGCCTGCCTCAGCCTCAGCCTGCATCAGCCTCAGCCTCAGCCTCAGCCTGCCTCAGCATCAGCCTGCCTCAGCCTCAGCCTCAGCCTGCCTCAGCCTCAGCCTCAGCCTGCTTCAGCCTCAGCCTCAGTCTGCCTTCAGCCTCGGCCTCAGCCTCAGCCTGCCTCAGCCTCAGCCTGCCTCAGCCTCAGCCTCAGCCTCAGCCTGCCTCAGCCTCAGCCTGCCTCAGCCTCAGCCTCAGCCTGCCTCAGCCTCAGCCTCAGCCTGCTTCAGCCTCAGCCTCAGTCTGCCTTCAGCCTCGGCCTCAGCCTCAGCCTGCCTCAGCCTCAGCCTGCATCAGCCTCAGCCTCAGCCTCAGCCTGCCTCAGCATCAGCCTGCCTCAGCCTCGCCTCAGCCTGCCTCAGCCTCAGCCTCAGCCTGCTTCAGCCTCAGCCTCAGTCTGCCTTCAGCCTCGGCCTCAGCCTCAGCCTGCCTCACCCTCAGCCTGCCTCATCAGCATCAGCCTCCTCAAAATGTGGCCCGGGAATGAAGTTCTGGGAACTCGAAGAACACGAAGTGGCCTACAGTTGGCTCCGGGCATTCAAAATCATGCCCAGGAATGGAGTTCTGGGAACTCGAAGACACGAAGTGGCCTACAGTTGGCTCCGGGCATTCAAAATCATGCCCAGGAATGGAGTTCTGGGAACTCGAAGAGCACGAAGTGGCCTACAGTTGGCTCCGGGCATCAAAATGTGGCCCGGGAATGGAGTTCTGGGAACTCGAAGAGCACGAAGTGGCCTACAGTTGGCTCCGGGCATTCAAAATCAAAATGTGGGAACCCGAAGGACAGTGGAGTTCTGGGAACTCGAAGAGCACGAAGTGGCCTACAGTTGGCTCCGGGCATCCAAAATGTGGCCCGGGAATGGAGTTCTGGGAACTCGAAGAGCACGAAGTGGCCTACAGTTGGCTCCGGGCATCAAAATGTGGCCCGGGAATGGAGTTCTGGGAAGTCGAAGAGCACGAAGTGGCCTACAGTTGGCTCCGGGATTCAGAATGTGGCCTGGGAGTTCTGGGAGGTCGAAGAGCACGAAGTGTGTGACTGTTTGCGAAAAGCGCATTCGGACACGAGTTCGGACACAGCTCCCCGGGTCCCGCCCCGACCCCCCTGTGGAGTCATCTGCTGCTCTCTTTTGAGACCACTAGAAACCTATCAGCAAAAGCTGTTAGGTAAATACACAGAAAATAATCAAAAGTATTTTAAACATAATCCAAATATCGTCCCCTGACTATTTCTTGCTGCGTTTGAATATTCCTCCTGTAGAGGGACAGGCCCGACTTAGCTCTACGGACGTAATTCCAAGACGTACATCGGGTGTTGCTAAACGTGCCCCCAACCAACCCCGGGTGCCCCCAGGAATTTCCAGGAGGCCCCAACGGCATCCCGAGGACCCCCCACGAGGCCCGGAGGGCGCCGGAAGCTCCAGAGCGGAGCGAAGAGCTGGGGACACCCTGGCCCAGAAGGGACCTGCAGCAACCCCCGAATACAAGGCTCTCATTCACGGCTACAGCCGGAAAATTAATCCAAAAGATTCTAGCTTAAAGAATCTGGGGCAGCTTTACAGAAGATGATGAAAACAGACCTGGCCCAGGGGGACCTGTAGCAACCCCCGAGTACAAGGCTCCCATGAACGGCTACGGCCGGAAATTTGATCCAGAAAACTATAGTTTGAAGAATCTGGGTCGGGGCCGCGCAAGCATGGATTAGCGATCCATGGATTTGGCGCGTGGTCGCCGAGTCCATGGATCGGGGGAGGCGCCCGCCCCAAAATGCGGCCAGTGCCGCCTCCTTCGGCGGCGGAAGTCCGCGATCTTCCATGGAAACGGGACCCGTCGCTAATCCACGCCCCCTTGATCCATGCTTGCGATCGCCCGAAAAGGCCTCATCTTCCTCTGTCACACCCCCTCGCTTCGTGTCGATCCCCTCCTTTTCCACACACCCCATACCCCAGACACAGCAAGAGGAGACCTGAGACAAACCGAAGAGGAGGGAACCTGGATGCTTCGGTCGGGGCGCTCTCACGAGTCCCCATCCCTGGTGGCCTGCCGAAGAGTCGAAAGATCGCACCGCATCGCCGATGCGTCGGTGATGCGCCGATGACTTCGGGACGGAGACGATCGGCCACACCGCATCGGCGATGCTGCACAATCCTTCGGCCTCCCCTTCTCAAACCTAGTTCAGGAGGCCAAAAAAACTCCTACCGCGGGCATCTGCTCTGACGACGCGGTGCCTGGTACGAAAGTGAATTGGAGCACACTTGTCCCAACATTCCTGTGGTGCTGGGTCCTCGTTGCGAATACGAGTCGCCTGAAGTATCCTTCCTTCCTCCCTCACTCTTACCTCCTCTTCCCTCCTCCTCCTCCCTGCCTCTGCCCTCCACATGTCCATGTCGGCACACCCCTTACCACCCTTCGTGGCTCCATAGGGAACCCCACCCAAGGCCCAAAGGCACCGTCCACATGTGGGCGTCACGCCCGTGCCAGCACACCCCTTACACGCTTCCTGGCCCCATAGGAACTCCACCCAAGGCCCCAGAGGCACCGTCCACACGTGGGTGTCACGCCCGTTTCGGCACACCCCTTGCACTCCTGTGGTGCTGGGGAACTGGATGCTTCGGTCGGGGCGCTCTCACGAGTCCCCATCCCTGGGGGTCCCCTTGATCCATGCTTGCGATCACCTGACCGGGGCAGCTTCCCAGAAAATGCTGAAAACGGAGCTGGGCCAAACTCTGTTGGTCACGCTGGAGGGGCGAACCGAGGATCGGGACGGCTCGAGGAGCATCAATGATCGAGGATCGAGGAGAATCGAGGAGGATCGAGGCTCGAGGCTCGAGAATCGAGGATCGGTTATCATTCCCCGTTCCCCCTTTCCTCCTTCCCCCTACCACCACATCATCATCATCATCATCATCATCATCATCATCATCATCATCATCATCATCATCATCATCATCATCATCAGCATCAGCATCATCATCATCATCATCATCATCATCAGCATCATCATCATCATCATCATCATCAGCATCATCATCATCATCATCATCATCATCATCATCATCATCATCATCAATCATCATCATCATCATCATCATCCTCATCCCATCCTCATCCTCATCCTCATCCTCATCCTCATCCTCATCCTCAGCAGCAGCATCATCAGCATCATCAGCATCATCAGCATCATCATCATCATCATCAGCAGCATCATCAGCATCATCATCAACATCATCATTACCATCATCATCATCATCATCATCACCACCATCATCATCATCAGCATCATCATCATCAGCAGCATCATCATCATCATCATCATCAGCATCATAATCATCATCATCATCATCATCATCATCATCAGCAGCATCAGCATGATCATCATCATCATCATCATCATCATCATCGTCGTCATCATCATCATCATCATCATCATCACCATCATCATCATCATCAGCATCATCATCATCATCAGCCGTCATCATCAACAACAACATCATCATCAGCATCAACAGCTTCATCATCATCAGCAGCAGCATCATCATCAGCAGCATCATCAGCATCATCAGCAGCAGCATCTTCATCAGCATCATCATCAGCAGCGGCAGCATCATCAGCATCATCATCAGCATCAGCATCATCATCAACAACAGCATCATCATCAACAGCATCATCATCAGCACCAGCATCATCATCAACAACAGCATCATCATCATCATCATCAACAGCATCATCAGCATCATCATCATCATCATCATCATCATCATCATCATCATCGGCAGCATAATCATCAGCAGCATCGGCATCACCATCAGCAGCATCAGCAACATCATGATCATCATCACCACCACCACCGTCGTCAATACCGTCATAATCATTAGCAGCAGCATCATCATCACCATTATCACCACCACCACCCTCATCATCATCATCATAATTATGAACATCATCAGCATTAGCAGCATCATCATCAGGAACATCATCGTCATCATCATCGTCGACGTCATCAGCAGCAGCAGCATCGTCGTCCTACTCCTCCTCCTCCTCCTCCAACTCCTCCTCATGTGTCGTTATCCTCCCCATCCTCATCTTCCTTATCCTCCTCTTCCCCATCCTCATTCTCCTCCTCCCCCTCCTCCTCCGCCTCCTCCTCCTACTCGCCCCTCCCCCCGTCCTCCTCCCCCTCCTCCTCGTCCCCCTCCGCATCACATCCTGATCCTCCCCCTTCCTCCTTCTCCTGCTTTCCTTGTCCAAATAGTTAACTCCTCCCTGACCAACCCCGCGGCTGGTCGAAAGGGCGGACCAATCGTTCCGCATGAGACTTCTTACAATTTCTGGACCTGGTGCTTAAACAGCGTGCAAGAGTTTCACGGATAGAAGGCGGGCGGTTTTCAAATGTGGTTCCCGCCTTAGCGCCGCGCTTCGTCTCAAAAAGATTGCAAGAGTTTCACAGATGGAGGGCGGGTCGATCTCAAAATGTGGCTCTCGCCTTGGCGCCGCGCACAGCCGGTTTTTGAAGTTCAGAGGTTCACTGATTGCGGGCGGGAGGGGGTTCAAAATGTGGATCTCGCCTTAGCGCCGCGCACACTCGAGTTTAAGGGCTTGCATGAGTTTCACGGATTGAAGGCGGCTACTTTTCCAAATATAGCTCTCGTCTTCGCGCCGCGCACATCCGTCTTAAACAGTTGCAAGAGTTTCACGGCTTCCCATCGTTAGCGTACCAGAGATGGCGTCAGGTTGATTCGTGGCGTTGAAGTTTCGAGAATGGCGCGTTGGCACGCTTCAGGACGTTCAAACCCTTGTCTCCCAACGGGGAACTTCCCTCATTGGCAATGACTCCTTGTATGGGCCTATGAAGAGGGAGCTTGGAGGGAGGGTGTATCCCAACATCGTTGACGAGTGTTGGGTTTACACTGGTCCTCCTCCTCACCCTTCTCCACTCCCTCCTCCTCCCCCTCCCAAGCGAGCAGTCGTCTCCTCCCGTCGTTTTCCGTCGTGTACACGGCGCCGCTGGAGGTGGCCATCTCGGCGGAACCCGGGCCCTTGGTCAGTATGAGCTGCGGGCCGGGGGGAGGAGAAAGCGAAGGAGGAGAGGGGAGAGAGGAGGCAGATGGAGCGAGGGGGAGGAGGAGAGAGACGGGGAGGGGGTCGAGAGAAGGAGGGGCAAGTGCTGGGGCGGGAAGGTGGAGGAACGGAAGTAAGTGACAACGAAGGGAACAAAGTTTCAAAGGCCCTGCACGCGAGTGCGTAACATGCAGCATAGCAACTAATCTCACCATCACCTTCAACATGGCATGATGCTGCACGGTCTGTGGAGCAGCTGCTCAGCATCTGCGTAGCATCATCCAAAGATGCAAGCTGACGACAGTGTCGGCGATGACAAGGTGCGTAAGCGGACACGGTAACATGTATGTATGTCTTCACCACAGCACTATACCTGAAATTAGCTCCATCGGGCCAGAGCCAAAAGCCTGGCAGATCATGTGCGAAACGTATTTGGGGGAGGAGGAGGAGGAGGAGGAGGAGGAGGAGGAGGAGGAGGATCCATCGCCAGGCAGTAGCAGCGTCAACCACGCGATGGAAGAGGCTGCCAGGCGAAGCAAAAGGCGACGACTCTCGGCCGCGGCTGTCCTGCAATTCCGGCCCAGGGCGAGAGAGAGAGGCCGAGCCGGGGCTGCGCAGGAGACGGTGCTGCCCCGGCAAGAGACGATGCCGTGCGTGGGCGGCCCGCGAGGGGAGCGGGGCGGCAGCGCCCCCTGGGCTGCTCTCGAGCTCGACCCGAACAGTCGGGGGCGCGCGAACATGGATTAGCGATCCATGGATTTGGCGTCTGAGATCCAAAAGATTCTGGCTTCAAGAATCTGGGGCAGCTTTACAGAAGATGATGAAAACAGGCCTGGCCCAGGGGGGCCTGCGGCAACCCCCGAGTGCAAGGCTCCCATGAACGGCTACGGCCGGAAATTTGATCCAGAAAATTATTATTTGAAGAATCAATGGTCGGGGGCGCGCAGACATGGATTAGCGATCCATGGATTTGGCGCGCGGTCGCCGAGTCATGTATCGGGGGAGGCGCCCTCCCAGAAATTCGGCCAATGCCGCCTCGTTCGGCGGCGGAAATCCGCGATTTCCCATGGAAACGGGACCCGTCGCTAATTCACGCCCCCTTGATCCGTGCTTGCGATCGCCCGAGAAGGCCTCCTCTTCCTCCGTCACACCCCCTCGCTTCGTGTCGATCTCCCTCTTTTCCACACACCCCATACCCCAGACACAGCAAGAGGAGACCTGAGACAAACCGAAGAGGAGGGGACCTGGATGCTTCGGTCGGGGCCCCCGTCGGGGCGCTCTCACAAGTCCCCATCCCTGGGGGCCTGCCGAAGAGTCGAAAGATCGCACCGCATCGCCGATGCGTCGGTGATGCGCCGATGACTTCGGAACGGAGACGATCGGCCGCACCGCATCGGCGATGCAGCACAATCCTTCGGCCTCCCCTTCTCAAACCTAGTTCAGGAGGCCAAAAAAACTCCTACCGCTGGCATCTGCTCTGACGACGTAGGCCTCGGTGACTGGTACGAAAGTGAATTGGAGCACACTTGTCCCAACAATCCCGTGGTGCTGGGTCCTCGTTGCGAATACGCATCGCCTGAAGTATCCTTCCTTCTTCCCTCACTCTTACCTCCTCTTCCCTCCTCCTCCTCCCTGCCTCTGCCCTCCACAAGTCCATGCCGGCACACCCCTTAACACCCGTTCGTGGCTCTTTAGGGGCCCCACTCAAGGCCCAAAGGCACCGTCCACATGTGGGCGTCACGCCCGTGCCGGCACACCCCTTACACGCTTCGTGGCCCCATCGGAACTCCACCCAAGGCCCCAGAGGCACCGTCCACACGTGGGTGTCACGCCCGTTTCGGCACACCCCTTGCACGCTTCGTGGCCCCAGGAAACTCCGCCTGACGCCGCAAAGGCCCCAAATGCACCGTCCACATGTGGGCACCACGCACGTTTCGGCACACGGTTCCCACGTTTCGTGGCCCGCCATGGGGAGCACCGCCGAAGGCCCCTAAGGCACCGTCCACATGCGGGCGTACCGCCCGTTTCGGCACACCGTGGCCCCATAAGGAGCTCCACCCAAGGCCCCAGAGGCACCGTCCGGATGTGGGCGTCACGGCCGTGCCGGCACACCCATCACACGCTTCGTGGCCCCATGGGGAACTCGACCGAAGGCCGTGTCTGGACGTCCCCCTCTTGGCCGCCCCCGAGAGCGTGACGACACCCAGCGGTGAGTCTCGGGCGATTTGGTGTCCCCACACGGTTTGGGGACCCGCGCGGTTTTTCGAGGGTGCCCCGAATACGCTGGTGGGTCCAGGAGTCACAGAACCCGGCGGTGACCCCGTGTCCCAGAACTGGGCGGTGCCCTTTCGGAGATTCTAGGTCCCCACCTGATATCGCACCATCTGGTTTAGGGGGCTCCCATCAGAGGCCGAGAGCAGCAACAAGCAGAACCACGCCCGTGGTGCCTTTGTTCCCGACGCGAGGGCGTCCGGGTCTGAGGGTCACTCCGATGCATCGCCGATGCATCGGCGGTTTATCGCCCGCCGATGCATCGGCGATGCGGCGCGATCCTCCGACCCCATCTAGGAGGCCTCCGGTCCACGTCCCGGACCTCGGGTTAAGTCGATACTCACACGCTCCATGGCCCTATAGGAAACTACACCCGAAGCCCCGCAAGCACCGTCCACATGTGGGCGCCACGAGCGTCCTGACACACCCCGCACGCGCCTCGAGACCACGTAAAGGCCTCCACCCGCCCCAAAAGCACCTTCATCATGTGGGCGTCACACCCGTGACGGCACCCCCATCCCCACGCTTCGTGGCCCCAGAAGGAACCCCACGCAAGGCCCAAAGGCATCGTCCACATGTGGGCGTCACACGGTCCGTAGCCCCAGGCAGATCCACCGATCTCCACACAGACACATGCGGACGTCACACCCGTTGCTGCACACCCCTCGCACGCTTCGTCGCCCCAGACGCACAGCCCACATGTGGTTCATAGGCCCGGTCTGGCGCACTCTATTCACACGCTTCGTGGCTCAATAAAGGGAAAACTAAACGTACAGCCCCAGCGACACCGTCCGCAGGTGGACGTCACGACCGTTGCGGCACACCCCTCACACGCTTCGTGGCCCCATGGGGAGCTCGACCCAAAGCCCCAGAAGCACTGTCATCATGTGGGCGTCACGCCCGTTCCGGCACACTCCTCACCCCCAACCAAGGCCCCAAACGCACCGCCCACATGTGCGCGTCACGCCCGTTCCGGTACACCACTCACACGCTTCGTGGCCCCACATGGAGTCACACCCACACAAGCACCGTCAGCACGTGGACGTCACACCCTTTGCGGCACATCCCACACCCTTTTCGTGGCCCCACAGGGAGCTCCATCGAAGGCCCCAGAGGCACCGTCCACATGTGGGCGTCACGCCCGTTTCGGCGCACCCCTCACACGTCACCTCCTCCTAACCTGTCAGACAGATCTACAGACAAATCGTGTCACAAAAATCACCGAATTTATTTCCAAAACTATCAACTGAAGGTTGTCAGGGCGATAGCTGTGTACTTCCCCACTTCTTGGAGCGACGATGCCGAAGCGGACGCTTTATATGATCTCTTGTCGATTCTTCTTGAAGGCGATGGGGGTGCCGATGCCCTGACCATCATCGGCGGGGACTTCAATGCGCATGTCGGTGCACTCGTGGCCGGAGATGATCAGTCATTACTTGGTGCTGCCGGCAGTGGCGTTCGCAATGACCGTGGACGTTTGTTAGTGCAATGGCTTCTTCAACATGGGCTGTCGATCTACAGTTGCTTTGGGCCAACACTTCCTGAGAATTCCTGGACATGCAGACGTAGTTTCGACGGTGCTCTTGTCCAACTGGATTACATCGTCGCTGGTTCTAGTTTCGGTCACGTTGCTTCCAATGTCGATCAAGAAATTGGCGTTGGACTGGATCATCGAACGGTGCATTGTGAGCTATCTTTCGTTGGCCGACGTGTCAACAGCAACCGGAAGAACAATAGTTTGAAGGGTTGGCGGCCTATTCTGGATGTGCGCGGGGAGCCGTCGAAGTATTGGGAAGTATTGAGCGACCCAGTTTTGCTCTCACGGGTCTCGTCGTTCAGCTGCGCGGAGAACATGCTGCACAAAGCGGGATCCAAGCACGGGAGCGCGGGTTCGAAGAGATTTCGATTCAAACCATCTCCAGCTCTCACGTCTTTGCGGCTAGCTCGACGCCGTGCGGGTGGACAGGCAGAGAGGAAAGATCTCACTTTCAAGATCCGCCGTACGATGCGGAAGGAAAGTCGCCGGTGGCGATCTGCGCAGATTTCTACATACGTAGGCCAATCATCAAAGTGGAAAGCGTTGCGGCAGATGTTAAACACGTTTTCGGGCAAGAAGAGAGCAGTTCAACCGAGCCCCGCGGACTTTGCTACAGCCATGCGTGAGATCTTCAGCGGCACTTACCAGCGCCCGCCGGCGAACCCCGCCACTGCCGAGCCTAGTTTCGACGAGGACGAACTGGACATCGCCATTGACCGGATGAAGAAGAACAAGGCTGCAGATAGTAAAGGTCTCGTCGCAGAGCTCCTGCATCAAAGTCCGCCGCTCTTTCGCAGTACTGTGCTGAGGTTGTGCAACCAGTTGTTTGCGCACGGCATCGTTCCAGACGATTGGAGACGTACAGTCTTCAAGATGCTGGAGAAGATGGCAAGTGCTAAAACAGTTTCGGATTTCAGACCTATTGCATGTCTGCGGCTGTTCTACAAGTTGTTCTCCTACCTGGTCTTGGGCAGGATCGAAGATGCATTGGAGCATGCACAACCTGAAGAACAACATGGGTTCCGGTCCGGTCGTCGCCTCGAGGAGCACGTGGTTACTGCCAACATTGTCTTTCAGAAAACGCTCGCCGTAGGAATACCGATTTGGATCATCAGTTTGGACTTGTCGAAAGCTTTTGACAAGGTGGCATGGGATCCACTGTGGCAAGCACTCCGTGATCATGGGGTGTCCGACCATATGGTTTGGCTCATTCGACAACTCTATGCGGACCAAGTGGGTGTGATTGCTGGCGAAAGCACTTACAGTGATGAGTTCCCTATTTCTGCTGGCGTCCGCCAAGGGTGCGTACTGAGTGCAAAGTTGTTCACGTCCGCCATGGAATGGGCAATGTCGCGCTGGAAGCAGAAAGTTCGGCATCTGGGAATAGATCTTGGAGATGGTGGAGAGCATCTGACCAACCTGCGCTTCACAGACGACTTGCTTCTATTCGCATATTCGGAAAGGGAGGTGTGCTTCTTACTCGACGCGCTCGTGTCGGAGCTGCTGAAGGTCGGGCTTGTCCTTAACGCGAAAAAGACCAAGGCGCTTACCACTACAGCACAAGCCCCCTCCACGATCCAGACGCCGAATGGTCTGACAATCGACGTGATCAACAGGGACTCTGCTCATAAATGGTTGGGTTGCATGCTGTCCACAGGGGGAGCAGATTCCCGCACTCTGGATTTGAATTACCACATGCAATGTGCAGCCAAGGCATTCTATGCGAATCGTCGTATTCTGTGTGACAAGCGAGCCTCGGTCACACAGCGATTGAAATTGTTCAATTCCGTCGTAACGACAGTGGCGTGTTTTGCGGCAGAGCATCGCCAGCTATATTTGGATGATTTGAAAACAATGGATATCGAATTTCGTCGCCTCGTACGACAAGTCGTTGGACCACCTCCGGACGTTGATTGGGATGGCCCATGGCATGATGTACTGCATGTTTGGCACGAGCGTGCACGTTACTTCGTCGCGCGTGCTGGTATTCGCACATGGGCAGAACAATGCGTTCATCAATATTGGTCGTTTGCAGAATATGTCCAGCAGCTGCCGGAGACGAGGTACATCACGAGAGTTCTGAACTGGTCACCACGCGGTAATCGTAGAGCAGGCCGGCCGTGTCTTACATGGACAAGCAAATTGGAAGATTTCGGCCGTGTGATCGGCTCTCAATGGCGATCCTGGTCACCAGATGTTTTCCAAATGCGCGCCGACGATTTTCATAATTTCTGCTGCCATTCCCTATGAACACGCTGTCTCACCGTGGCGCGCGCGTGTGTAGCACGCTGCCGATTGCCACCGCCTGTGCCCTCTATGGGCTCGCCTTCCGGCGCACGGGCTTGACCTGACCTGAACTATCAACTGAAACGTGCCGGCTTGTGTTAGGTGATGTGCGAATTCAACTCTGACACCACCGCCCGCCGCGAATCATGGCTCTCGCGTTGACGCCGGTCTCGCGCCGTGTGCAATGCGGGAGGACAATGCGCTGTCTTGGTGGGTCACTACGTTGTTGCGCGAGAGCGTCATCCCCCCCGCGCGCGTGCCAGCGCCTCGCGCTTCGCCCGCAGCGGCGGCGCGCGCGATGGCATCGGCTCGCGCGCACATCTCCAGCGCGTGCCAATCCCGCTGCGCGCCACGCGCGCGCGCGAAGGCATCAGTGCGCGCGCGGAGTCCAAGCGCCGGCGCGAGACTTCCGGGCGCACAGGACGCGCGACGACGAATCGCCCGACCAAACCGCGTGACACATTGGCCCCTTTGCCAGCGCTGCCTGCGAATTGACAATGCGAGCGGCGCTTCCGCAATTTTTGCTGCACGTCTTCCACAGGCATTTTTTCGTCGCCACTTGGATTTTGTCGCGGCTCTGCGCCACTGGCGGATTCTGTCGTCCGCCGCCATCGTCGGTGTTTTTTTGTCGTCGGCACATTTTTTTGTCGTCGGCCCTTTTATTTGTCGGATTCCAAGTCTACTCGGGCTTCCAAGTCTACTCGGTCGGACGGATTCCAAGTCTACTCGGTCGGATTCCAAGTCTACTCGGGCTCTTCAGCATGTGTGGGGTGCTTCGCGGCCGGATCAATCTTCCATACCTTCACGTTTCGCACGTCCCCATCACCCCGTCTGGAAACGATGCCAAGGCGCTGCTCATGGAAGTTCGATTACTTATCCTCGCCCACCCCCTTGAGAGACCGCGCAACACCGCTGGGGGGGGGCTCAACGCTAACAGCGTTTGAGAGGCATGACGGGCGCCGCGTCTTCATTTATACATAAGAACATATGACTGTGATCCAAGAGGCTTTGTCGTTCGTCGTTGTTTACCCTATAGGAATGGAGGAAGTGACACACGCTTTCTGGCCCCATAGGGAGCTCTACCCAAGACGCCAGAGGCACGGTCATCATGTGGGCGCCACGCCCGTTTCGGCACACCCCTCACAGGCTTCGTAGCCTCAAAAGGGACTCAATCCAAGGCCCCAGAGGCATCGTCCACTTGTGGGCGTGACGCCCGTGCTGGTACACCCCTCACACGCTTCGTGGCCCCACAGGGGGCATCGTCGAAGGCCCCAGAGGCACCGTCCACACGTGGGCGTCACGCCAGCTTCGGCACGCCCCTCCCACGCTTCGTGGCCCCATTGGGAAACCAACGCACGGCCCCAGGGGCACCGTCCACATTTGGGCGTCACCCCCATTTCAGCACACCCCTCGCACGCATCGTGGCCCCATAGGGAGATCCACTCAAGCCCCCAGAGGCACCGTTTCGGCACAGCCCTCACACGCTTCGTGGCCCCAGAAGGAGCTCCACCCAGGGCACCAGAGTCACAGTCCACATGTGGGTGTCACGCCCGTTTCGGCACACCCCTCGCACACACCCAACACACACGCTTCGTGGGCCCATGGGGGCCTAGACTCGAAGCCCCAGAGGGACCGTTCACATGTGGCCGTAACGTCCGTTCCAGCACACCATTCACACGCTTCGTGTCCCCGTAGGGAGCCCGCCCCAAGGCCCCAGAAGCACTATCCACAAGCGCGGGTCACGACCGGCACACCCACTACGTGTCCCCATAAGAAGCCCCACCCAAGACCCCAGAGGCAGTGTCCACATGTGGACCCCTCGCCCGTTTCGGCACACCCCTCACACGCTTCGTGGCCCACAGGGAGCTCCCCCAAGGCCCCAGAGGCACCGTCCACATGCGGGCGCCACGCCCCATTCAGAATACCACTCACCCGCTTCGTGTCCCCGTATGGAACTACGGTCCACAGGTGGGCGCCACGCCCGTTTCGGCACACCCCTCACACGCTTCGTGGCCTCATAAGGAGCTCCACCCAAGGCACCAGAGGCACTGTCCACATGTGGGCGTCACGCCCGTTTCGGCACGCCCTTCACACGCTTAGTGGCCCCATCAAGAGCTCTGCCCAAGGCCCCAGAGGAACCGTCATCATATGAGCGTCACGCCCGTTTCGACACACCCTTCGCACACTTCGTGGCCTTACAGGGAGCACAGCCGAAGGTCCAAGAGGCACCGTCCGCATGTGGGCGTCACGCCCGTTTCGGCACAAACATGCACACACACACACACACCACACACACACACACACACACACGCTTCGTGGCCCCAGAGGCACCGTCCACATGTGGCGGCACACCGCATGTGGGCGGCACGCCCGTTTTGGCACGGCCTCGGGTCACGCCGAGGCCTCAGAGGGGCCGGTTCACATGCGGGCGTCACGCCCGTTCTGGCATAGCCTTCACACGCTTCGTGTCCCCGTAGGAAGCTCCACCCGAGGCCCCAGAAGCACCGTCCACATGCGGGGGCACACAACCGGCTCACCTGCTACGTGGCCCCAAGAGAAGCCCCACCCAAGACCTCAGAGACATGGTCCACATGCGGGCGCCACGCCCGTTTCCGCACACCCCTCACACGCCGTTTCGGCACACCCAACACACGCTTCGTGTCCCACAGGGAGCTCCACCCAAGGCCCCCAGAGGCACCGTCCACAGGTGGGCGTCACGCCCATTTCAGAACACCACTCACCCGCTCCGTGGCCCCAGAAGAAGCTCTGCCCAATCCCCAGAAGCACAGTCCGCATGTGGGCGTCACGCCCGTTTCGGCACACCCTTCATTCGTTTCGTGGCCAAATGGGTCGCTTCACCCAAAGTCCAACAAGAACCGTCCACATGCGGGCGTTACGCCCGTTTCGGCACAGCCCTCACACGCTTCGTGGTCACATGGGGAGCTCCACCCACGGCGCCAAAAGCAAAGTCCACATGTGGACGTCCCGCCCGTTTCGGCAGAGCTCCACCCAAGACCTCAGAGGCACCGTCCACATGTGGGCTTCACGCCCGTTTCGGCACAGCCCTCATACGCTTCGCGGCCCCGTAGGTAGCTCCAAGCAAGTCGCACAAGCACCGCCCACATGCGGGCGGTGCGCCCATTTCGGCACACCCTTCACACGCTTCGTGTCCCCGTAGGGAGCTCCAGAAGCACCGTCCACATGTGGGCGTCACACCCAGCGCACCTGCTACGTGGCCCCATAAGAAGCCCCACCCAAGACCCCAGAGGCATCGTCCACATGCGGGCGCCACGCCCGTTTCCGCACACCCCTCACACGCCGTTTCGGCACACCCATCACACGCGTCGTGTCCCACAAGGAGCTCCACCCAAGGCCCCAGAGGCACCGTCCACAGGCGGGCGTCACGCCCATTTCAGAACACCACTCACCCGCTCCGTGGCCCCATAGGGAGCTCAACCCAAGCCCACAGAGGGACCGTTCACGTATGGGCGTCACGCCCGTTTTGGCACATCCATCACACGCTTCGTGGCTCCATAAGGAGCTCCACCCAAGGCCCCAGAAAAACTGTCCACATGTGGGCGTCACGCCCGTTCCGGCACACCCTTTACCCGCTTCGTGGCTCCATAGGGAGCTCAACCGAAGGCCCCAGAGGCACCGTCCACATGTGGGCGTCACGCCAGTTTCGGCACACACCTCACATGCCTTGTGGTCCCCTATGGACCCCCCAAAGCCCCAGAGGCACTGTCCACATGTGGGCGCCACGCCCGTTTCGGCACAGCCCTCACACGCTTCGTGGCCCCACAAGGAGCACCGCCGAGGGCCCCAGAGGCATCGTCCGGATGTGTGCGTCACGCCCGTTTCGGCACAAACATCTATATATATATATATATATATATACATACATATATATACATATATATAAACTAGAACCACGCGCGCGCTTCGCGCGCGCTTAGGTTCTGTCGGTCACAGACCCAGGAATCCTCCTCCTCCTCCTCCTCCTCCTCCTCCTCCTCCTCCTCCTCCTCCTCCTCCTCCTCCTCCTCCTCCTCGTCTTCCTCCTCATCCTCGTCCTTTCCCGAGCGATACAATAACAACTTGCGTGGAACCCCTCTCGGGCCCATCTTGGGGCTCTCTTGGGCCGCCTTTGGAGCCTCTTGGGGCGTCCTGGGTCTCTCGTGGGGGCTTCTTGGAGCTCTCTTGGCGCCTCCTGGAGCCTCTTGGGGCCGAAAGCTCGGAATTCTACAGTGGCTTTCTCCCTCTGGGACCCCTCTCGGGCACGCCTTGGGGCTCTCTTAGGCCATTTTGGAGTCCAATTTTGCCGTCCTGGGCGCCTCGTGAACCGTCTTGGAACTCTCTTGGGGGCCACCTAGGCCGTCTTGGGAGCCTCTTCGGACGTGTTGGACGCGGTGAAAACCCAACAGGCGACCATGCGAAAAGTATACGTTTTCCCATAGGAATGGGACCATTTTTGCTTCTTGGACCTCTCTTGGGGTGCCTCTCGGAACGTCTTGGGCTGATTTTGGAAGCCTTTTGGCGCCTCTGGGCGGCGTTTTGGCGCCTCCTGGGATGTGTTGGGCCGGAAGCTCGGAATTCGAGAGTGGCTTTCTCCTTCTGGGACCCCTCTCGAAGTCGTCTTGGGGTTCTCTTGGGCCGTCTTGGGGCCGTCCTGAGCCACTCGCGCGCATCCTTGGAGCGCTCCCGGAGGCCTCCTAGGCCGTCTTGGAGGCCTCTTGGGCCGTCTTGGACGCGGTGAAAACCCAAGCTGCGAACATGCGAAAAATATACGTTTTCCCATAGGAATGGCACGATGTTTGCTTCTTGGGCCTCTCTTGGGCTGCCTCTCGGAACGTCTTGGGGTGCTTTTGGGAGCCTTTTGGCGCCTCTTGGCGGCATTTTGGCGCCTCCTGGAGCCTCTTGGGCCGGAAGCTCGGAATTCGAGGTTGGCTTTCTCCGTCTGGGACCCCTCTCGAACTCGTCTTGGGGCTCTCTTGGGCCGTCTTGGGGCCGTCCTGGGCCGCTCGTGCGCAGCCTTGGAGCGCTCCCGGAGGCCTCGTAGACCGTCTTGGGCGCCTCTTGGGCCGTCTTGGACGCGGTGAAAGCCCAAGAGGCGAACATGCGAAAAATATACGTTTTCCCATAGGAATGGCACGATTTTTGCTTCTTGGGCCTCTCTTGGGCTGCCTCTCGGAGCGTCTTGGAGGCTTCTGGGACCTTCTTGGTGTCATGACAGGCGTCTTGGAAGGCATCTGGAGCCATCGGAGCGCGTTCCGAAGCCGCCTGCGAACGATCTTGGACGGCGTCCGGCGGTCCGACGAGCCTCCGGGCCCCCCGGGGCCCACATTTGTGGTCGAGGTCCCGGCCCCGGGCCCCCGGACCCGGTGCGCCGTTATATGTATACACACACACACACACACACACACACACGCACACACACACACACACACACAAACCACACACGCTTCGTGGCCCCAGAGGCACAGTCCACATGTGCCGGCACACCGCTCATACGCTTCGCGGCCCCATGGGGAGATCCAACCAAGTCGCACAAGCACCGTCCACAGGTGGGCATCAAGCCCGTTTCGGCACACCGCTCACACGCTTCGCAGCCTCATAAGGAGCTCCACCCAAGGCCTGGAAGGCACCGTCCACATGTGAGCGTTACGCCCGTTTGGGCACAGCCCTCACACGATTCGTGGCCCCATAGGGAGCTCCACCCAAGGCGCCAGAAGCATAGTCCACATGTGGGCGTCACGCTAGTTTCGGCTGAGCTCAACCCAACGCCTCAGAGGCACCGTCCACATGTGGGCGTCACGCCCATTTCGGCACACCGCTCACACGCTTCGTAGCCCCATAGAGCGCTCCACACAAGGCCCCAGAGGCACCGTCCACACGTGAGTGGCACGCCTGCTTCTGCACACCCCTCACTCGCTTCGTGGCCCCGTAGAGGCTCCGCCCAAGGCCCCAGAAGCACATCCACGTGGGCGTCACGTTCGTTTCGGCACAACCCTCACACGCTTCGAGGCCCCACATGGTAGGGAGCTGCACCCAAGGCACCAGAGGCACCGTCCACATGTGGGCGTCACGCCCGTGTCGGCACACCCTCGCACACGCTTCGTGGCCCCATGGGGAGCTCCACCCAAGGCGCCAGAGGCACCGTTCACTTGTGCGCGTCACGCACGTTTCGCCACACCCCTGACACGATTCGTGGACTCGTAGAGAGTTCCACCCAAGACCCCGGAGGCACCGTCCACATGTGGGCGTCACGCCCGTTTCGGCACACTTCTCACACGCTTCGTGGCCCCGTAGGGACCTCCACCCAAGCCCCAGGAGCACCGCCCCCATGTGAGCGTTACGCCCGTTTTGGCACACATCTCACCCGTTTCGTGGACTCATCGGGAGCTCCACCCCAGGGCCCCAGATGCACCCTCCACATGTGGGCGTCACGCACGTTTCGGCACACCCCTCACACCCTCACACGTTTCGCGGCCCGTACGAAACTCCCCCTCCTGCGTCGCACCCACCTTGCGGTACTCAAACCTGCATTGCCTTCTTCGATCACTCGCGACAAATACCAAGACTGCCCAAGGGATTAATCCCCGAGGAGGCTTAGCCTGCGAAGCAGACCCAAGAGGACCCCAACAGACTCCCAAGAGGCTCCCAAGCGACCCAAAAATCCCTCCCCAGCGAAACCCGACAGCCTTCCGAAGAGTCCCCAAGAAGCATCCCTGGGGGCTCTGGCCCACGTCAGCCTCGTCTTCGTGGCCGCCGCCGCCGACGCCGCTGTCGCCGTCGTCTCCCCGCAGGGTTGGCGGCACCGGCCGTGAGGCCCTCGCAGTGAGAACTGCCTAAAGGGGGTGATCCCTGAGGAGCCTCAGCTTCCCGGAGGCTCCTCCGCACGGGCCGCCTGGCGCCGTGGGCTCTCTTCATCCGAGAACAGTGGCGCACCGCCCGCAGAAAACGGGGGCACGGAGAACGCGGCGCCTCGGCGTCCCGCGGCAACGCGACCAGAGCCAGCCAGGTGTAGGGGGAGGGGGAGGGGGAGAAGAGGAGGAGGAGGCGGAAGCACAGAAGGGGGATAGGCACGGGGAGGAGGAGAAGGAGGAGGAGGAGGAGGAGGAGGGAGGAGGAGATGGAGGAGGAGGAGGAGGAG